GGAACAAGCCAATCTGGCATGCAGAAGTAAAGCAAATATAATAAAGTTGCTGGTAAAGGTCAAGTTACTCAAACGATGGCAAATCTAGGCAAAGATTGAATATGATTCATCTAAAGAGTCTGGATGACAACTAGATAGCAGCAAGAATTGAAGTTTTCTCTATTTAGTTTCTGCCACCTAGCAATTGTCTAGATTTTTGCAACCCAGATCTAATAGCTCCAAAGAAGTTGCTGTTACAACTTGAGCCTCTGTGTTTCAATTGATCATCATTATCATCATCATCATCAGGCCATCTTGTTCTGACCTAAAGTTGTGTTTTCCCCCTTATATTTAGAAACTGGGAATCATAACTATAATGCCTGGTGTCAAACAAATGGGTGGGTATTCATTTATCTCTTTTAAATGGAAGGTGTCTCTGGAGGGATTAAATTGATCAAATGCTTAATGCATCTCCTCTGGAAGTTGTGTCATGGCAACTGAACTTCTTTTCTTTTTTGGTTTGAAACATTTTGCTCCTTCATGCTACCCTAGGGGAACCTGGTCAGCATAGCAGAGCTTTGCGTGCAACAGGCACCCCACAGGTCATGAAATCTCTCCCTCCCCTCCTGCCTGTAATACTCATGAAATACATTTCGCATCCCAGTGTCAAATTCTGGCATTCTCTTTTGGGGCTGCCTGACTCTCCAGAAAAGCCTGAGCACATGAAGCATGACAACGAATGAGCCAGAGTTAGGCGTTTCAAAATTTCATAACACTTTTTTTTTCATTCTGCATAAGAATGAAAGTAAGAATGAAAGTAGCCACTCCCATTATGATTGTGACATTTTTTTTCATTCCCCATTTAACTACACCTTAGAGGTAATACTCCTAAAACCAGGCTCTATGTAGTTTTGATAATGCTGATAACGCTCAAGTGAATTGAGCTGCAATGATTTTTAGACTTCAGTTTACAGGTAGTCCTCAACTTACAACCATTTGTTCAGCACCTGTTCAAAGTTATGACAGTGCAGAAAAAGGTATCTGACGACTGGTTCTCTCACACTTATGACCATTGCCGTGTCCCTGCTGTCATGTGATCACAATTTGGACACGGCAACTGCAGCAGTCCAGGATCGTATAATCACCATTTGCAGCCTTCCAATTGGCTTCTGACGAACGAAGTCAATGGGGGAAGCTGGATTCACTTAACAGCTAGCTTAACAACTTAACAATAAAAATACTGTAAGATCAGGTGCAATCACACGATGTCTCACTTAATGGCTGCACTCATTAGCAATGGAAATTCTGGTCCCAATTATGGTTGCAAGTTGAGGACTACATGTACACATTTCCAACAGCATCTGGATACACAGCCATGAACAGGGAAAGCTTTCTGGAACGGAGACAAACCACTGCAGAAAACTTTCCTTGCTTATTTTCTACACGTTCAGCTGTTGTTTAAAAATAAAAGAGGAGACAAGCTTGCCAACTAATCAAGAGGAAAAATAGCTTGGCTCATTCTTTTGCTTTTTAAAAACAGTTTGCTCTGCACAAAATCATCAGGCAGAGTTTTGCATACATGAAGTGAATTGTTGCTGCTTGCTGCGGCTGGAAGTCAAGCTGCTGTTAAACACAAAAGTAGACTGATTTTTTTTTTTAAATGTATCATGTATATGAATAACCCGACTTAGTATATAATGCCAACCAAACTTCTAGAATTCAGATTTCACAACTGCCTTTGCAGCTACCACCTCCCACTGCATGTCTACAACTCAGCCCCTTGTTTTTCTGCTTGCAAAAAAACATGGCCAGCTGAGCTAAGTGTCTTATAGCAGGCAGAGAATTTCTAAAGCAAAAATTGCTCAATCATTATGTACTAAGCATTAGTATATAGCCTCACCCTTACACAGACCATGTTGAAATGTGCACGAGGCAGTGGGATTTAGTGGTGAAAGTATTGGTCTAGAAGCAAGGAGACCCAAGTTCTAGCCCATCTTCAATCTTGGAAACTCACTTAGTGACCCGGGTTAGGATCACTCTCTCTCGGCCCAGCCTCTGATGTTTGCAGTGGAGTAAAATAAAATTATGGAACTCTATACATATTATCTTGTATACTGAATAAAATGAAGAATAGAGCAAATACAAGTGTTCCCCTGGATTCGTTTACAGAACTTTTGTGGGATCTCTTGAAAATGGTTACAAGTTGTGCACAGCTATTGAAATGCCTTGAAATGGCATTTCCTTGGCTCTATGGAACAACTGACACATCAAGTGCTTAGTGCATGGGATGGGGTAAGGAACACCGACCCAAGGAACAAAGAGTATTTTTTTCTCCTGATTTTCATTTTGGAAGACAGCTAATGAAAGGGAATGGAGGCTAAAGGTAGGCAGAAGAAGAATGTTTCATCCAGAGGTTTAATAACCAAACCTTGGCCTGATTCTTCTGTCTACATGGAAAGCAGGTGAACAAAACAGGTATCCCCAATTAAATACAGAATCACAACCTCTTCTGCTCTATACTTAGCCTCCAACAGAAGTATCACAGGTTCCATTCAGCAACATGGATGCTTCTTACCAGCTCCACCTCTTCAGCAAGGTCTTCCGTTTCACTTTACCAAGGAACCATGATCAAAGAGACATGATTCGCTGTCCAACTGTGGGCATAAGCTGGGAAGTCTTGGATTCAAATCCTGATCATACATAAAGCATAAAGCCAGGACCCCTCAAAATTACATTCCCGGACTTTGGCAAAGATAAAATTGGTGGTGGGATGGAGGAAGTGCTGTACAAATTGTCCTCAGTAGCTTGAAAAAAAAAAAAAAGACAAGCCTACAGACAGCAGTGCTCACAGCGGATGGTGATGACACCCAGAAGGTACGTGCAATGATGTTATAATGCAAAGGTTTTTCTGATTTGCTTCCCTGGCCTGAAGTGGCTATGTCACTGCAGCATCCTCCCAGACATGCCATCATTTACACTCACAACACACTGGGCTCTACCCTGTATAAATACATTTAATTAATTTGTTACTCGCTGTATTGAATGAATCCAGAGCATTGGTTAGTTAAGCCTTGTTCCAAACCCAGCCATTGTGATTAAATTTGCAGGAGGGAGGGAAGATTCTCCCGTTTGATTTGCTTGGTGATTCTATTCATTCAAAATCAGTGAGTTGCATATTACGTATTAGACCTATCAGTGTTTCAAATATTCTGAGTAACACGTCATGTTTCTTCAGACTGCATGGTAAAGATATGTTTTAAAAGGGCATTTTAAGTTTAGAAACATGAAGTGTTATACAAAACATAAAACTACATGGAAATATTCTTGTGTCCCTTTAAAAAACAAGAAATGTGTCACATTAGTGGTAGTCTTTAACTCTACTATTAATTAAGTAGAGAAACAATGTTATTTTTCTATATTTAAAACCACTCCGGTATGGCACCCTATCTCCAATTAAACTAAAACTCTCTCAACTTTCCTGCCTGCAGACTAACTGAGAACAGGATAGCAGGAGACCCAGTGGGTAGCTAAAGTGTTGGACTAGAACCAGGCCCAGGAAATCCACTGGGTGATTTTGGGCTAATCACTGATTCTTCACTGAACCTACCTCACAGGGCTGTTGTTGTAAGAACAAAAATGGAGGAAAGAGGGGGCATAAATTTAATTAAAACAGTGGCATTGCATTAGCATATTTGAAAAAGATCTGGAGGAATAAAGGTAGTTTATGTGAAATACCAAAAGTACTTTTTTTTGCATTGATGGATTTTGGATTTTTTTTAAAAAAACATTTGAAATATATAAGCAATGTACCCTGAGTGGAATAGTTGATACTCCTTCATTTTACTTGCTTTTATTTTTATCATCTGAAAAGCAGAATCGGGATTTCCTAACCACTCAAATAATAAGCAAGCTATATTAAGCAATCCTCCTCACTGTAAATTTTAAAATCATCACAAATTCCATTTACTTCACTTATCTGCAAGAATCCTCCTAATCAGGAAGTGTCAGTTGCTTCCAGAGGGGCCACTGGACCGCCTCTCTCTTGCCCAGCCCTGCCGAGGCTAAAATGTTTTGTATACTTGCACAGCTACAAGCATTATGGAAGGAGGGATGAAACCTTCCTGGGCCATCCAGTCACTGGATTACAAACTTCCTGTTCCTTATTTACTTTCCTGTGGTCAGGGGGAGAATTTCATTTAGAGAAGAAAGGGAAGAACCCTTTCTGGCCTCTTTCTGTACAGTGGCATCTCTTGCTAAGCTAAATTATGTGTGCTAAATTATGTGTGCATCCTTAACAATTTGGCAGAGGGTCTCCGCGCTTCCTCGGAGACAACCAATCCTAAGGCCAACAGCAGATTTAAGGGTCTCTGTCATTAAGGCCCTGAGTCTCAGGCTACTCGGATCGCTCTCCCAAGGCAAGGCAAGGCAAGGCAAGGCAAGGCAAGCCTCAGACATGTCACTGTTCCCATTCGCTCCTCACAGCAAGTCAAGAGCTCCGTCCAGAAGCCTCTCGAGTTCCTGAACCCCCTCAGCTTGGCTGCCTTGCCACGCACACTCGCCCCATCCTAAAAAATGTAGGTCAGTCAGGAAGGGAGGGGAAGAGCGGGAGTGTTTATGTTGTTCTGTGCAACAAGAGACGACGGGCGGGGGGGAACCGCATCACCCATCCACCCAGCTACGTCTAAGCGCGGCCCCACCGCCGCGCAGCACCGCCGTCCTTTTCCAAGCGCGGATTTGCTGCGCAGAACTTCCCCGACTCGTCCGGGCGCAATCCAAGAGCTTGTCTGAACGGGGCTGAAGGGAGGCGCCAGGAGCCCAGCGGAGCAAGAGCGCCGCATGCCCACTGCCCGCCATGTACCTTGCCCGCAAACAAAGCACACCCGCGCCCGCCGACAACTCCAGCGCGCGAGAAACGAGCCGGTCTCTCCCGGGAGACACCCCCCCCCCCAAGGCCAGGGGGCTTGCAGGTGGGGGAAGGGCGAGGGGAGAGGAACCGCCGCAAGGCGTTCGCGTGAAATCACCTCTTCCAGGCGCCCCTCGGCCACCTCTCCAGCGCGGGAAGGAGTCGCCGCGCGTCTTTCGCGAGCTTTGCTGCCGCCGCCGCCCTACTTCTTTCCCCAGGCGAATGTGTGTTAGTAGGTCAGCCGGTTGCATAAGCGCTTCTAAGCGCCTCCGTCACGCTCCCGAAGTCGCCGCACAAAACAAATCGAGGGGAGGAGCGGCGGGGAGAGGCGAGGCGGGCGAGCGGGCGAACGAGAGGGGCTGGGCCGGAGCCAGAGGAGCGAGCGAAGAGCCACGCGGGAGGCGCTGTCGCGGCTGCTGCTGCTGCTGCTGCTGAGGAAGAGACGGAGCCAGCCAGCCGCTCCCTCTTTTCCTCGCCCGCTCGCGTTCAACACTGGAAGCGCCTGAAGGTCGCTTTGCTCCCAAAGCCGCGCGGAAGAGAAGCGAGTCCGCGCCGAGCCACCGCTTGCGCTGCTCCCGGGATCCTGTTGCAAGGAGTTTCCGAGTTACCCGCCTGGCTTCTGACTTGCTGACGTGTAGCGAGAGAACTGGCTTGTTTGTAGGAAAAAGGCTCCCTGCCAGGCTGGGCCTTCGGGAGCTCCGTGGTGCCAAGGCTCGCCAGGGCAGCGTGTGCTGAAGCTGAAGGCCGGGCGCGCCACTTGCGCCAGAACAATAGCTTATAACGGGAGCTCTCCGGTCCAAAGCAAGGCGACGTTTCCTACCAGTTACAGTGAAGAACAAAAGGAGCGGAGGACAAGGCAGGGGGAGCGCTGAGCTGAACCTGAACCCAATATCCCAATGGCTGGGAAGACACAGACACCCCGGGCTCTTCTACTTTTTACAACCATAGCTTTCAGGGTTTAGTCCTAATGTTGAAAAACGGAAGCGAGGCATTGAGTCTATCTGTTTTGGAAAAAGGCTGCGATGGCCACAGTAAAAAGGATCCAAACTATTTTGTAAGAACTTCTGGGAAGGGAAGAGAGACATTGCATTAATGCATTGCATTAAATAAGTTAAGAAAAGCACTTAGCTTGAGCACTTTCTCTCTTCCCTGCTTTAAACTCAGGAAAAGGGTCTTTGGATTTCCATGACCTTTGACCCTACTCAAAATGGGCACAGCACTATACATATGTGTCATGTACAATTGGCCTCCTCCTGGTATAACAGGAAAAAGGGAATAGAGCAGTGTTTCTCAACCTTGATAGCTGGAAGATGCGTGGACTTCAACTTCCAGAATTCTCCAGCTAGCTATGCTGACTGAGGAATCCTGGGAATTGAAGTCTACACTCTTTTAAGCAGCCAAAGTTTAGAAATGCTGGAATAGAGGACTGTGCGCTTTGTTAGAGAGCTAGTGAAGATAGAGGCGAAGGAGGTGATGTGACAGAAACACTCATTTGTTCTCTTCCTTCATCTGCAGCATTGGAGGATTACATTGTGAGTTTTAATCTTAGCTAGTGGGTGGAAAATGCTTGTCTCTATGCTACAGAAGCCATATGCTTACTCTAGGCGCCGTGGACAATTTCAGAACTACTGTTCCCTCTATCCTGAAAAATAAATATTGAGTTAGACCTGCAGACATGCCCAAACATGAAGAAACTGTGATAATGTGTGTGCTGGCAAAGGTACATTTAATTGTAGATGCAAGCATGCACAGATATAAACTGGCTGTGAAAATTGTGGTGTGCCCACAATTTGATGTTACAAGGTACATACATTGTGTAACAATAGAGAAATTGTGTGTGTGTGTGTGTAAATCATGCAGAATCCCATGCAGGAAACTAACTTAACATTAACTTAATCTGCTCTGAGGTTAAGGGAAGGTGGACTCTATATACCATTCTGATAGATACAGTTTAATGGAAACTGAGATTGCTCATTAATGGGAATTCTAGAAATTATTTTAACTGAGCAGAGTTTGTGGTTCATAGGACATGGTACTTTTAGCCATATCTAATTGACTTAATAGAGCACATTAAGAACATTTGTTGTTCTTATAAAGCTCTATATTTTTTTAGATCTAGTGGTTAAGATACCAGTCTAGAAACCAGGAGATTGCGAGTTCTAGTGCCACCGTAATCATGAAAGCTGGCTGGGTGGCTTTAGAATAGTCACTATGCCTAAGTTCAACTCATCTGGCACGCTGTTGTGCAGAAAGTAGATAAAGAAAGAAGTAATATGTATGTCTGGCGCCTTGGGTGATTTATAAAAATAACAAAGGGTTAGAATTTTTAAAAATCTAAATAAATAAAACCCATCTTGTCTGATATTTTTTAAAACTACATTTCCATATAAATAATCCTTCCAAAACTGCTTAATTTGTATGAATCTGTAAGATAGCTTAAGAATAAACAGAATAATTAGAACTGCATTAAACAATTAAACAGCACACAGATCAATATTATAACTTGTAAGCTGCCCACCGTCACCTTATAGGTGAGATGGGCAGCATAAAATGTAATAAATAAATATACAGACAAATCAATTAGCAAAACTTTGTGGTCAGTAAAAAACTACTACTCATCCAAACCCAACTTGGGAAGCCTTTAAAGTGGTCATTAAGGAGGAGGAACAAAGGTTTCCCTTGACAACAAAGTTGTGGCTTTGGAGGATTGGCAGCTTCCTCTCTCCTATCCCTGAAGCTTCCTGTTTGTCAAGGGCATTATTTTACTCATGCTTTCCAGGCATGTAACTGGGAAAACGATGCATGGGAGAAAAGTAAAAAATGGCAATTAGGAGCAATCCTGTGAGTGGGTCAACTTCTCCCCCAAGGTTGTGAGTGAGCAATAATATATTTCTGAGCCCCAGAAGTCCAGTTTTGCAGGAAAAGATTGAAGAACATTTTCTGTGCTTCTTTGGGCTGTATATTGAGCCATACAGGGAAAGAGAAGACGCTAAAGTCAGACACAGATCTGCTCACAAGCCAGGGCATCTCTACAATACGGTAGGTGAGACAACATGAAAGCAAGATCTTGGTCTGCTTCGTCTGCCTTCATTTGCACCAAGAAATGAGCTCAGGCCACATGGTCACCCTTTAAAAAATCCTGAGGTGTAAATGAATACATTCTCACTCAGATCATGTAACACTTTATAAATTAGTGGCTGACATTGTCACATTAGCATTGGTGTATCCTTATAATTGAATATGATCTGAAATTGGGGGGGGGGGGGGGCAATTACTGTCCCATTTTCTGCCACCATACACCATATGCTAATTGCAAAGGGTGGCCCAACGCTTCTCACAATTTTTACTCATTTATTGTAGGAAACCCGAGACTTACAGACAAGTACATCAGTGCTCCAAATCTCACTGTGCTCTGACTTCTCTGCATTTTCACCAGCATTCCAGTTTCAACATAGTATTTGTACCATAGTATTGGTACTATGGGCCAGACAGTGAGGCCAGAGCTGTGTGGAATATGTTGTATGCACATAAGGGTCACGTTTTTCATAATGTGTGTGTTGCATCATGTGTGCATTTCATCTGTAGTGGTTGGAATTCAGGCTTCGACAGTCATACTATTTAGAGGTGGGATAATATGTGTTTATCAATGTGTACAGGTAGTCCTCAACTTACAACCATTCATTTAGTGACTCTTCAAACTTACAATGGCATTGAAAAAGTGACTTATGACAGATATTCACCCGCACAACTATTGCAAGGTCATGGTTATGTGATCAACATTTGAGTACTTGGCAACTTGCATGTATTTATGACAGTTGCAGCCCCCTAGGGTCCTGTGATCCCCATTTATAACCTTTTCCAGCTAGCTTCCAACAAGCAAAGTCAATGGGAGAAGCCATATTTGTTTAACAATTGCATGAGTCACAGTGACAACTGCAGTGATTTGCTTAACAACTCTAGCAAAAAGTTATAATATGGGGCAAAACTCACTTAACCACTTTCTTGCTTAGCAATGGAAAGTTTCAATTGTGGTTGTAAGTTGTGAACCACCTGTATAACATAAACATGCACATGGGAAACAAAAGTATTTAGAAATGTTACAATGCAAAACTGCATTTCCAAAAGTTTTTGTGAGTTGAAAACAAAAAATAAAAAACGCATTTTCAAGGCAACTCATGAGTCCTTTGCAGAAATGTTCTGGGCTACAGGCAAAAATCATAATGCAGAACAGGGTGAACTAACAACAAAATCCTAAATAGCAAAATCCTATTCAATTTATTCTCAGTTATTCGGGTAACGGTTGTCCCAAAGATGCTTTTTCCAAAACGCAACTGGACTTTCTTGGATTGTTTTTTCTTTGAAATATTTTGCTTCTCATCCAACAATTTTTTTTCAGTTCTGACTGGTGATGAATTCCCACTCATATAGTGAATGGATGAATGGGTGAATGGAATTCACTGCATATATGAAAACTCTTACATATATGATTTCCCTATTACCATGCATATGACTAAGAGTATGCATTTTGTGTATTAGGTTTTTAATAAACATATCATTATTTTAAGAAAAGACTCCTGAAATTGTTGTTGGGCTAAACAAATACATCAAAACGTATCCCAGGCCAGTGTGTCCACTAACTTGTCATCTGTCAATAAATCCTTAATCCACCATCCAAGGAAAAATCTTGGATTCTGCAGAACAGAATGGTTACTAAAATGAGCATACCTTAGTGTTGGGGTACAGAATATCCAAAGAATTTTCTCCCAGAGTAGTAAAATAACAATGGAAATAATTGGCCATTTATAGTCTTCAGAATTTATAATCTTCAGAATTTGTTATTTCAGCCCAACTAACAACAGAGTTCAGGCCATGGAAGAAACTGAGGCAAAGCTTGCCGTGCTGGTGAATCATGGCAATCATTGGGTGGAAGAGGAAAAACAGCCACCAACTTTGTGCTTACTAATCACTTGGGTAAAATTATTTCTGTAAGATTCTTATTCCCATTTTAGTACTTTCCCACTGTCCCTTGGCTGACACCTTCTCCCCCTCACAAGGCTCCCCAGCCTTCTCTGGAGACATGTTGGTTTTATCAAAGCCAACATCTAGAAGTGAGTAAAGTAATAACTAGAAGTCAGCATGTGTTTGTTAAAAACAGATCATGCCAAACCAATCTTATTTCATTCTTCAACAAAGTGACTAAATTAGTAGACCAGCAAAATACTGTGGACATAATATATTTAGATTTCAGCAAGGCATTCAACAAAGTAGACCACAACCTACTTCTTGGCAAGTTAGAAAAAAGTGGGATAGATAGCATCACCATCAGATGGATTTGCAACTGGCTGACAAACCGTACTCAGCAAGTAGTCCTTAAGGGTACTACATCTACATGGAGGGATGCGTCACGCCCATTCCTGGTTTAGCAAAGGGGGAAAAAGTCTCAATGTGATGCCATCATAACAATGTGAGTTTGACACCCCTGCTGATCCAGATGGATCTTGACACACTTGAACACTGGGGCCCTATCTAACAACATGAAAATCAACATAGAGAAAAGTAAAGTTAGATTTAGGCAAGAAAAAAACAAAAGTACACATATAGACTGGGTGAAACCAGGTTTAATAGCAGTAACCGTGAGAAGAATCTTGGAGTCTTTGTGGACAACCAATTAAATATGAGTCAACAGTGTGCAGCGGCAGCCAAAAAAGCCAGTGTAATCCTAAGTTGCATTAGCAGAGGGATACAATCAGGATCAAGTGAGGTACCAATACCACTCTATAAAGCCTTAGTAAGACCACACCTAGAGTACTGTATCCAGTTTTGGTCACCATATTATAAAGAAGATGTTGAGGCTCTAGAGTGCAGAGAAGAGCAACCAAGATGATTAAGGGCCTGGAGCCTAAAACATGCAATGAACGGTTGCAGGAACTGGGCTTGGCTAGTCTAGTGAAGAGAAGGACCAGGGGAGACATGATATCAGTGTTCAATATTTGAGGGGCTTCCACAGAGAGGAGGGGGTCAAGCTATTTTCCTGAAGGCCAGACATAGAACAATGGATGGAAACTGAACAATGAGAGATTCAACCTGGAAATAAGGAAAAATGTTCTTACAGTGAGAGCAATCAACCAATGAAACAGCTTCCCTTCAGAAGTTATGGGAGCTTCATCACTAAGAGCTTTCAAGGAGAGACTGGACTGCCATCTGTCAGAAATGGTATAGGGTCTCCTGCTTGGGCAGGGGTTTGGACTAGATGACCTACAAAATCCCTTCCAATTCTGTTAATCTGTATCTGACAAATTAGACTATTTCTCTCCATCTACTGTTCAGGAATAATCTACTTCCTTTCTGGTTTTTAGTAAAACTGAAGATAAAATAATCCTATCTCTTCAGTCATATTATAATACTTTTCTTAGAATCATCTCTTAATGAGGTTATAAAAGACTAGTAACTCACCCTCTCCAAAATATATGTAATACCTGAACTGGTAAATAAACCAGTTTCCCTTCCCTTTCTCCATTGTCTATTTTGTCCTGGGCAGATTATCCATCAACATTTTATATAGTATTTTAATTGCTAAAGAAGTATGTCAAGTGTAAAGGGTTGACAAACATGACCGTCATGAGAAAAAAGAGGATTAAGGGTGGGAACATACGGGAAAACACATACTGTAGATTTACACCATGGATTTAACATGATAAAGCAGCAAGGATGGAGAATCAATGGACCTTTGACTAATGTCATGTAGCCCTTGGCTTAATTTTTGCCTTCCACCACTACCACCCTCAAGCAGGGGACCTGTCCAGAGCTACAGGCCTCTTCTCTGCAGCCTCAGCTATGCTAAACATAGGACCACCAGATCTGGGCTACAAAAATCTGGATAACCACAGAATGCCAGGAAAAAGTCAATAGTTTTCTATTTCTATTTCTATTATGTAACATCAACAAACAGAGATTTTGAAAGAGGTTGGGCAGGTCTCTCCACCCACTTTTGCCTCTGGCTCTGGCTTCTTTCAGCCCCACCCACCCTGCCCTTCATGGAAAAAAATGATTGCTCACTCTCCTTTGGTGAGAACCAAAGCGAAAGTCAACAGAGAAGAGACACCAACCTCAGCTAATTGCAGTCTCAGGATTAGGGCTGGTTGGAAGACTTTTGCTCCTGGAACTTTCGGATAAATTGGAGGCTTTGGGCAATGTAGGCTCCCTTCGAGGGCAACGGGCAGCCGTATCCTCCATCACCTTTTTGCTGCTTCCTTCTCCTCTTTATCCATTACCTGGTCATTTTGTCCTGCCCAGTCCTAAGAGCAGCTCTGCTATGATTCCATGAGGCTGCCCTGACCTTGGCATAAGTCACACTGGTACTACAGACTTTTTGAGAGGAAAGAATGGAAAAGGAAGCCTGAAAGGGTGCAGAGGCAGTAAGTGTAACTGAGGGGGGAGCAGCCAATAGTTAAGGCAACAGTGTCAAGTCAAATCAATCTGGTTCCTTTTAAATAATTCTGCAATGAATGTGTCAATCGTTCTCAATTTTGGCAACTGTGTGGGTTTCAATTCCCAGAATTCCCCAGCCAGCATGCTAAAACTTGAAAAAAAACAAAACACTGTGGAGTAGTTCATTTGCTAACAGAGCTTCCATCACATTGTCATGGCTGTCTTCTTGATTGTTTTTTTACCCTGTTCTGCAGACATCCCTCTTTATTATGGCTGTGTAATGTAGGAGGCCTAGTATTTCCCAGGATATAATAGGACATTGCAGAATTAACTTCAATCAAGCGGACACAACTGAAAAAATGGAAATATGCACAAAAATAAGTTGAATGACATTCAGGCTTTCTGGCCCCCAAATTTCCAGATATTTCACAGCACAGTGCCCATCATGCTTGGACTTGCACATCTGGAGATTATCGCATCCTTGGAGGCATTTCTGGTTGATTCTGTTCCCAATGGATGGGTGAGAAGTCAATGAAAGCAGCAGCTGAATGGGCATATTCTGACGCCCCCTTCTGGAAAGTGTCAGCATAGCAACATTTTTCAAAACTATCATGTCTATTATTGATAAGCAATAGACCTTATCCGTTCAAAGAAATATTTTACTCCAAACAGTGAAGGAGAATTTAAATTAAGAAGTTGCTTGTAGTTTTTATAGCTAGGACATAGACATTCAAACTTCGTTGCATAAGTTTGTTTTTCTGTATGTAGTAACTTCCCACTTTCCTGTGAAAGCAAACATTTCTGGTTCTTTCACCTCTGCAAAAATTATGCAATAAGGGAGCTGATTTCAGATTACAGTTCTGTACAAAATGACAGAAGGCTCATTTTAAGCAGTTAGACCAGTCTTCAGTCCAGAAGACTTCAATTTCTACAATCCCTGGCTAAGTATGGGAACTAAATTCTAATACTTGCAGAAAAAAACCCAGTTGTAGAAGGCTTAGTTGGATTTTTGGACTATGTTTCAGAAACGATTGGTTGTACAGCCTGATGATCTGTTAAGTGCTGCATTACAGTGTTGTCAGTGGACACATTTAATTGTTCTCCATGTCTGTGAGTACAGAGCTATATACTTTCCAGATGAAATTGGGTGGGAGGGAGAGCTGCCTCTTTCCATTATGGTCAAATCTAAAATAGGATTTTAAACAGAGGCATGAAAGCAATAAATTATATGAAGGCATATTTTTTCATCTTCTCAGATAGAAGATTCCTAGTACTACAGTCAGAAGCTATTAGGGTTTCATTCATCTTTTCACCATTCAAGATTATTCTGTAGGAGAAAAATGATGGAGGAAGTGATGGGGAAGTTAGAAAAATGTTAGCACTGTGCTGATAACTGAAAATATTTACTAAAGTACAGCATGGTACTCATTTCTCAAAAAGGAATACATGTCGAGGATACAGTAATCAAAGTGTTTATTAAATCATTGAAACAATAAACCTCAAAAATATGACTAATCAGCTAACAATTCTTCAGCTGAATATTTGCAGTGTCAAATTTTCACATGAATAAAGAAGAGCATGTTGGAGCATGTGCAGAGTACTTTTAGCACATTCTCAAACCTCAGAGTCAGTTTCCAGGCACATCTGAAGAACTGGGAAAAGTAATGAGAAATCCAGAGACTTTGTTCTAAACCAGTTTGCTAATTTTCCTGGGTTTACCCATCTTGGCAGCTGATGTAGAGGTAGTTCTTGGCTTACAACCACAATTAGAACTAGAATTTCCATTGCTAAACAAGGCAGTTAAGTCAGTTATGCACAATTTTACAACCGTTTTTGCCATGATTATTAAGTGAATTGAATTACTGCAGTTGTTAAGTGAATCACACATTTGTTATGCAAAACTGGCATCCTCCATTGACTTTTCTTACCCAGATACCATGTGGGAATGTCGCAAATGGCGATCCCAGGATGTTGCACATACCATTTGCTAAATGCCTGAATTTGGATGATATGACTGGGAGATAGCAATAGCAATAGCACTTATATACCACTTTACAGCCCTCTCAAAGCGGTTTACAGAGTCAGCATATCGCCCCCCAACAATTTGCATCCTCATTTTACCCACCTTGGAAGGATGAGTCAACCTTGAGCCTGGTGGGATTTGAACTGCCAAATTGCAGGCAGCCGGTAGTTAGCAGAGATGGCCTGCAGTACTGCAGTCTGACCACTGAGCCACCGAAGCTCCTGCAACTGTTGTAAGTGCAAGGACCAGTTTTACTGTTATAACTTCAAACAGCTGCTACACAAATGGTTATAAATTAAGGACCACCTAATTGTTGATCATGATCTACTTCACGTGTCTACCTAGAGACAAACCAAATGGGGAGAAAGAAGCTACAAAAGGCAGCCTGGAATCTATTTGTGCTCAAGAACAATTTTCTAATGATTGTTTCCCAGAAGTCCAGATCAGTTAGACACGACAGCCCCTGATGTAACTCTCAAAGGAATATAGTGCCTATATTCACGGAAGATCATACTCAGGGTTACCAGGTCTCACTACCCTTCAGATGCTTCTGGATCAAGAGGATTACCCAGCTATAAGCTGTTGCCCAGGGGACATCCAAATGTGTTAACAGCACACATTCTTCGGGGAGACTCCTTGGCAATTGTGATGACACACCGACAGCAACACATTTGTATACCTGTCCTTTGTATCCTGATCAACGCACAATTGAGGACCTCACAGCAGCACAACAGAATGCAACGAACATCACTAGTTTCTGGGCGAGGTCTGTTTAAATTGTGCACATTTTGATCTTGTGTTTTATATTTTAAATGTTATGTTGTATAGTATGCCTTATTTTAATGGCGACCCCATCACTACATAGTTCCCTTCTGCCACCCAATGGTCATTCAGAGTTTTGCAGTCCACTTAATGTAGCCCTGATCAAACTATTACTAGTCTAATATGGACCATGCAGGGGATATGTACCTTGTGTAACAGCTGCTGGAGATCAACGAGGAAGAGCCTTTGCCCTCAGATCCACGTTTCTATCATCCAAGATGCATCTGGGTAGCTGCTGAACCCTTGTCCTGATCCAGGAAATGCCTTCTTTTTAAGGACAGATGTATTTACCTAACTGAAGTTCATCTGGGTTAGTATCACCTTTCTTAGGTATGGCAAGCAGGACAGTTTCCAAAGACTGACAAACTGCAGAGCCGCCTCCGTCTTTCTCTCCAGGATGCCAGCAGTAGCTGTGCCCTATTCACCCCACCAAAACTGAACCAAGCATTCCCATGCTAGGTGGCCTCCTTTAACTTACATGTATGGGAAATCAATGTAGAATGTGGAAAGAGCACGTTAGAGCACACCGTTAAAAGGAGGAGGGGCTTTCCTTAATACAAATCTTTACATCAAAAGTAAACTTCCAGGGTTAAATGTATGCAAATATAAACATGTGGAGCACTGGAAGATGGGAAAGGGGGAAAATAAGGATACAAGATTTGGGCTGCACAATTCTTGACTACTTCATAGGACAGAAGAGAAATGGATAAACAACTTAGCTCTTGCCTACCATCTAGTGGTAATTCAATTTTTATAGCCAACATTTGGTAGCCCTAGGAAAGAAGGGAAGAAAAGGGACCGCCTTCTACCTTTGTCTCCCCCCCTTCAGTTCATCTTGATGAGGATTTGTTCAGAGAACAGTTTTTTCAGCTGGGCCACTTCAGCTGAAAGTGAGGCCAGCTGACATTGTAGGGAGCGGTTCTCTACCTGGTACTCAGGTTCTTGAGGGGCCCCGGGGATCTCCGTTTCACCATTACTCTCAACTGCCAGGGGACCTGCAGAACACCCTGTGCTTAGCTGGTCTTTCCGTGTCACCAGCCCCCTCCATGTTCCTCCCGGTGGAGAAGGTGGGCAGTGTCCAGATTGCTCTCCAGCTATCTCCTCTGACCCTACCGCCATTTTGAAACGCAACTTGTGGGGAAGACCTTTGATGCTCTCCCCGGAGTCGTAACGGACAACACGGCCCAGATCAGTTCCATCAGCTGAAGCATCGGGTACTAGGCAATGCCTCTCGTACATAATTCCTTCCTCTGACCTGTCACGTTCCTCAAAAAAGACAGGACTTCCCAGGTTGGAACTTCCTGGGGTGGAAAAGCCAGAGTCCTCAGAACTGGTAGCTGGCTCTGGGTGGAAGGTGCAAGGGTAGCGGGGTAGCTCAGGAGCCACTGGGAAGTGCTGGGATAGAGCGGCTGACCGATGGAGTTCACTGGCCAGTGTAAGTGCTGGTTGAGGAGCTTCTACTGGATCCCGGATCAAGCCAAAGCGAAACTTGAGGGCTAGGAGTTCTGCCTTCAGGCGGGCATTTTCCTCCAGCAGGGCCAAAACTCGTCCCTCCAGGGCTAAATCACTGACCCGCCGTTTCTCTCGAGAGCGTTTGGCTGCTTCGTTGTTCTTCTTCCTCTTGTCCCAGTAGCCATCATCCTTCTTATCATCTGGAGTGAATTCTCGCTTGCGCCGGGCCATGGCGGAGGGCACCCCTTGCTCTTTCTGCTGTGTCCCCAGGCTGCTAGCTGCCCTGAGCAGGGACTGGCTTACCAAGCTATTGACAGAGAGGAATGACACAGTCTCCTCTGCAAAACAAGACACGGCACTCTGGAGCTCACCCACCGGCACAGATTTTGGAGGTGCCGATAGTGGTTCTGATGGAGGCTGGGTTGGCGGTTCCTCCAAAGGCAGATCCATCTCCCCAAAGACTGCAAGATGAGAAGAAGGAAAACAAATCAGAGAATATTACAGCTGGATTTCCTCAGTGTACCCATTTGGGGAGGGCCTGCAAAGTCAAAGAGAAGGAAATGCATATACCTAGCCTGCTGTTTGATGGCCAAATGGTTAAAAGATCTCTATAGTTCTGAATCTTGGGTATATGGTCGCTCCCACAGCTTCAAGGCCTCAATCATAAGACCACTTAATAGAGGAGATTTAGAGAAGCCGAACTATTTGTGGCTCTCTGGTGGCTGCTTTGATAAGGCTTGATATCGCTACTCACTACAGAAAGATGCAGCTCCACAACACCCATTCCTATTTGCCACACTAAATTAACTGCACACAGAATCACAGCAAAATATGAGGTTTCTAGAAGATTGCTATGTCTCCACATATCTAGAAGACAGAGAGACAATCTTTAAAATGTTAACATTTATTAGTCATTCCTAAGATGCTTTTAACTGCATATTCATTTATCCTCAAAACAGTCATCTAATGAGATAATTTCCTATTTATGACTCATCTGCAGATGGGCACCACCACCTCAATTCCTGCTCTGCTGGGAAGGTTCGGGAGGGGGCTGTCCTGGGAAGCATGAGAATGTCAATGTATGTCCCAGGGTATAGATACATTCCCAACCAAGGCATGAAGGTCACCCCAACTATACAGGTAAAGAAGACACCTACACTTAGCACCAGTGATACAGGAAAAAGCTGGAGGCAAATGATCATTCAGTGGCCATAGAGAAGACATCAATTCATGCTGTGTTGTGGAAGGCAATGGTAAGCCAGTCTTGCATTTTTACCAAGTAACCATACAGACAGAAAATACTAAACATTTGATGGTATAATGCTGAATAATGGATCCTTCAAGTCAGAAATGGTATTCAGCAGGTTCTGACCAGTTCTGGAGAACAGTAGCGGAAATTTTGAGTAGTTCGGAGAACCGGCAAATACTACCTCTGATTGGAGATTTTACAGTATCCTTCCCCTGCCACGCCCACCAAGCCACAGAGCCGGTAGTAAAAAAAATTGAATCCCATCACTCCTTCAAGTCAGATGTGCTAGTGAGGAACAGCTGAGGATTTTTGGAGTACTGATAGTACAGTATTTATGAATTGACTAGATTAAAATTTTTGGGATATCTAATTGCTAATCTTGCCATTCAGCAAAAGAAAATCCAAAGCTTCAAAAAACAGAATTACCGTAGGAACATGGAATGTAAGGAGCATGAATAGATGAGAACTGAAATATGAAATAAAATTACCATATACCCACATCAGAGACTTGAAATTACCCAGGATTAGATATTTTAATCGGAAGATCACACTGCTTAATACTTAGGATGCTAAAAACAATGGAGTGGAATTGCTTTTATAGTTAGGAAGGGCACAGCAAGAACAATACTTGGCTACATTCAGTGACTGAATGATATTGATTAGGTTTTTGTGAACAACCTTTTAATGTGACGATCATCCAGATTTGTACTCTTGATACAAATTTGTGATCAGAAGGTTGATGAGTTTTAGGATCAAGTTAAAATTGATTATTGATAGATTGCTGGCAAGTTGTGCTGCTTGTGATTGGGGACTGGAATGGCAAGGTTGGAAATATTAAGGAAAATGTAGTTGGACTATATGGCTTGAGAAATGAAGCAGTAGAACAACCTATCCATTTCTGCTAGTCCAATTTGTTCTTCATAGCCAACACTGACTTCAAGCTGGATTGAAAGAAGATTGGTATAATTTTAAAACGAGCAAAACAGCCAAGAAATATATAACAAGTTGCATTTGGAAGAGCAACCATGAAAGCCCTGGAAAAGATATTCAGTTGCTGTGATGTGTCTATACTACAAAGATCAAAATAGTGCAAGCAGTGGTATTTCTTGTGAACCTCTATGAAAGTAAAAGTTGAACTTTGAAGAAGTAGGATAACTCTTTAAAACCATTTCTCAGAGTAGTTGGCTAGCAATGCAATACACTTGCCTTAAATACTTACATTTTATTTTGCTATAAATTCAAATAATTTTATCTTCTACCAGATACACTATGCAAAATACATTTGATTGATACATTTGGTAGCTCAAAGCTACCTACTGACAGTGTGGATTTTTTAAAGCTATCCACGATGGGGATTTATAAAAACAAAAACAAAAAGGATTCTTCAATAAGAAACAAAAACAAAATTCATACGGTAGCTGTAATACACCTATTGCACAACATTACATTAAAGCTGTAATTAGATAGAGCATATTACATAAATAAAATTTAATTCATGAATAAAGGATGCAGTCTTCAGCACTGCATACCACAATAGCACTTGAGGTATATATAAAACACACTAGAAAAATAAGTGACAAAAACAGGGAGCAATGTCACTAGGGATTTTACTGTTTCCAACAGCAAATAGAAATGTTTATCTTCAGCCCTACATCAATTGAGGGTAATCTTCTCCTGGCTTTTAAAAAAGAGTCAAATGGTTTGTTTCCTTATTCTGCATTCCAGGCTCTTTCGTAACTAGGAAATGCTACCACCTCTCCCACCCACGGCTGACTCCCCTATTACCCAGTTCATCTGGAATATCCTGGCCAAGAACAGGACTAGACATGCTATTCTATCAAAGGAGCCTGGACAAAAACTCAATTCAGTTAACAACATCACCAGAAAAGCCACAACTTCACCCTCCCAATACCATCCTTAATCTTATTTACTTCTCTTAAGGGCTGTTTCATTTGGTAGAGTTGAAATAATTATCCACAAGGCCTTGAACTGGCAGAACTACAGAGCATACCTTATAGCTATGATGGGCTGCAAAATGCTCCACATATAGCTATCCATGCAAGTGATTTATAGCTTCATTCAATGATTGCTATGGCGATTACATGCTAATGCAGACAAATCTGCAATGGCTAGATGATGCTATAAATTGTTAGGGGGGGGGTGTCTTCACAGCTGAATTACAGTAATATTTACCAGTTCTTTTCCTGAAAAAGTACTATCACAAACAGAAAAATCACTGCTGCCACTGACTACCCCTAGTCTGCTTCGGGAAGGTTGAAACTCATGGATTCCCCAGTGTTGTTCTCATGCTGGGGGGGTCAATTTAGGAACCAGCTGAGTACTGGGAGAGAGTACTGGGAGAGCCATATGTGCAAGAATTGGACTCTCCTGTTGCTCAGAGCAGAATGGCCTTAGAAACACCACCCGGGCCTCAAAGCAGAAGGGCCTGCATTAACTTAAAGAAGACAGTACAATAGCCTGATCCCATTTCCTCAAGACAAATTGATTGTGACTACAAGCAAATACTTCAATAGTTTTCACCCACAGCCAGAATACATCTGGTGTGCTTAGAAAGGGTAATGCTACTTTAAAACCAGAGCAGCCAAAAACAAATTTGACCTGTCTTAAGTATGGGTTTGGAATGAGATGAAGGTGACATCATGTAGAAATAGTAATTGGTGGGGCAAATATGTGTCATGGTTGGGTGCAAGAAGGAAAAGGCCTAATGAGTACATGACAGAACTTCATATTCCTCTTGTGAACATGCTGAACTGAACTGTTTGTTTACTGACGCTTACCCTGCACCAGTGGAATCTGGAGCATAAGCAGCCATTTCTGCAGGGTATGGCTGAGACCAGTAACCTGACTAGATGGAAATCTGTTAAGAGATACATTTTTGAGCCTTAAGGAGAGTGGGGGGAAGGGGGGATTTTCAGGCTACCTGAGTTGCAACTCTTGAAGCAATGTTTTAAGATAGCTATATCTTACTCTGAAAACATACTTTACAGAGCCAACAATATGTTCAGCTCTAAAAGGATGATCTATCATTTGGGAAAACAAAGAATATGAAATACTTCTTTTCTAACATCTGTTCTAACAACATCTTTAACCGTAGCAGCAGCATGGATTCTGCACATGCTTTGTACTTAAGAGTCGAGTTCTGCACTAGGTCCAATGTTTCAGAATAATTTCAGAGGAAATACAACATACTTCTATCTCCTCCAATGTAGATCTTCCAATGAGAACAAATAGGGTAGCTACAGAGTACTGGCTTCTTATAGAGGTTTGAGTATGTAGAACTGCATTAGATAAGTGAAGAGAATTCCACAAAATATAATTTTTTGATTAATATGTACAACACTTTAGCATTAAACCAAATGCTGTTTTTGTAGTATTTCTTAAAATTTACACACTTCTTAACACCACTTGTGGATATTATACGAGACGAACTGTACTAGTTTATGATGACAAAAAAATCAGGAGCTTGGTAGTACCTTTTTAAACTTACAGTTCAATCATTAGATATTTACTGTGGTTAGACTGATGTAGGATTTAAAAGTGGATGTGAATTTAGGAACTTCTCACTTAATTCATCAAAGAGTTCAGGCAATCTCAGAAGGTTTCAACAAACACAATGGGTTGTTAACATTAACATTAATTATTAACTGACAAGTTGCTTGTAATCTATGTGACATGTAATTTGCAGATTTTTGTGCAGATTTGCCTTCCTTCACCCTCCCCGACTTTATATCACCACTTGGGCAGTAGTTTCACAATATTCCACACACATGTGCATATCACAATACTATATAAGCATATCAACATTCATATTATTAAAATAATTTGACATTGTTTAAATCATACACTTCATCCCAAATTTTCCAAATAAAGACAATTTAAAAATAAAATGGTATGGTATAAAATAGTGTACATTATTATAAACCAGAATCATAAGTGTATATGTGCGCTGACCCAGGGCCTCCAAGACATCTTTAATTTTTTAAAAAGTAAATAACCCGGTAAGCTTAAACTTAAACTTGTTCACAACCAATCTATCTTCCAATTCTGCAAAATCCTCTTATTCCAAGTGACAGATGGGAAAAAAAAAAACTTTGCTCAGCCATTCAGAAGTCCAAGGGAAGCATGCTTTGCACATGCTCAGGAGCATGTCCCGTGCCTAAAAGATAGGGGGCTCCAAGCCTTGAATGGAAAGAGATCCAGAAATGCATTTCCAGGTCGGGAGCTGGGGAGGGAGCAAGATGGTGCTTCTCTTTGTTCCCTCAGCAGATCGGTGAGGAGAAACGGAGCGGACAGGCCTTATGGTGAATTGGGGGGGGGGGGAGTGTTTCCCTTGCGTTCTCCCTAGAGCTAGTAACGGGTTACTGGGCGCTTCCGTATTAAGGCAGGGAGGCGGCGAAGGGAGGCCGGGAGGAAAAGAGGGCGGCGGGTGGACAGAATGAAATGGGGCAAAAAGGAAGGAGACCACAAACATACGAACAAAGGAGCAGAGCAACGCCGCCCGCCCTTGGGAAAGTCTTCTCTGTAATTAAGCGCCGGGAGGGATTTATTGACCCAGTTCTCAACGGGAGCGACCCATACGCTGCACGATCTCCTTACACGGACGTGTAATTGTTCGTAACTCCGGGTCCTCTGAGTAACCGAGAGACGGAGTATAACCCTCCCCTCCCAAACCCGAGATTCCCCGGAGCAGGAAGAGCTGGGATCAAACAGGAGAGCGACAGACAAGTCTAAGGCATCACTTTGCAGTCACCGTAATGGACGTGGTAGTCGAAACTAATACACCCCCCCCCCAGAAAAACTTGTAAGCGAATAGAAGCCACGAGACTTTTGGCTCAATCAACCTACTTTGGCCCCTGAGAGAAGCCCACCCAAAGGCGTCTGCAGAAAGGCCCTCGTCTCCCTTCCGCCCCGGCGGCGTCACCTCGCTCGGCTGGAGGACGTCCGCTCCGCAGTCTGGACAACAGGGGCCGCAGCGACGATTCGCATCTGCCATAGGCGCCTCCCCAGCGCATCAGAGACGCCCTCGCCGAACGGAGTTCAGCCGAGGACGCCGCCTTACCCGAGTTAACTCCGGCAGCCGGCCAGAGGGAAGAAAGGCCGCGAGTAGGAGCAGAGCCGCCGAGCCAGGCCGGCGGCGTAACTAATGTTTCACCCCGGGCTGTCTTACCGCCTCCGGCTGCCCCGAAAGAACCTTTTGCTCCGTCCCGTCGGTCGACTTCAACCTTGGCGGGATCCGCTTCGTTTTTTGCTGGAGCCCCCGGAGGACAACAGGCGCGCGCAGTCCAGAAACACAGCAAAGCAGCCAGAAGCAGGTGCCTCCTCCAGCTGGGGAACCTGTGAGGACTATCCTCTTTCAAGGCGTCCAGTTCGGGTTTTCCCCCTCCCTCCTCTCCCAGTTCACAGGGGTCAAAGGATCTTTATTTAGAATGCTATTTGATTTTTAAACCATCATCACAATGGAACAGAAACTTCGGGAATCTAGGAAATATCTGGTGATCTATGAACTACTTTGTACTGCAAGCCCCGCACACCTTCTGCCCACTCCCCTTGCTTCACAAGTCTGTGCCTGCATTTATATTGGAATTCTTGCCCCTCTAATGCCCAAAGTTCTATATGGCCTTAGACCCTATATTGCTGCAAAGAAGGATAACATATTTTAAACAAAAGTAAAAGTTTGTCAAAAATAAAAGAAAGGATGATGCCGTCTGGAACGGTTGATTATGTGTCATTGAGTCATTTTCAGTCTATGGAGATTCTTTGTCTGTCATCCAAGTCACGGTTATCCCAAAGGTGCTTTTTCAGGAGGCAACTGGACTTTCTTGTTATGTTTTTTTCTTTGAAGACATTTTACTTTTCATCCAAGAAGCTTCTTTAGCTCTGACTGGATGAATGGAAGGATTTATATTCCTCACATACAGCTGATCATTTGCATCCTTTTAGAGAGTAGTTGATGCACTTGGAGGTTTATGTGTCCTCAGGGTCACCTGAATAATGCAAACATAGTCAACAAAGTACGTGTGGACCTACTATTGATTGAAGATATGTCTTCCTCTATGCATATTACAACCACAATTTTAACTTCCATCATTAAGTGATGTAATTAAATTAAGTCACACACGATGTTATGTCTTTTGCTGCAGTTGTTAAATGAATCACACAATTGCTGAGCGCCTAAATTGTGATCACATGATCACGGATACTACAATAGTAAGTGCAAGAACCAGTCATAAGTCACATTTTTAACATTGTTGTAATCATTGTTCAAATGGTTGCTATTTGAACGGTTATAAGTCAAGGTCTACCTATAGTTCCTATACAATTCATTGGACTTATCTCCAAATATACATGTACTCATAATGTTTTACTGATACTGCAAAGAACTAGTTTCTGAAATACAATTAAGGAAGTTGAATAGCATAAACGCTAATGCAGGCCTGTCAAACTGGTGGCCCATGGGCCAGATATGGCCCACATAGGCCACGCCCACCCCAGCTCCGCAAAGGCAAAATATGATACATCACAATCCAGCCTGCAACATGATTGAGTTTGGCACCCCTGCTCAAAGGAATTTATCACTTCGCATCACTAAGCAACTTGTATTCACCTTTTGGATTAGGAATCAAGTGAGCCCAAATGAAAGAGTGATGAAATACCAGCAGGTATCCAAAGCTGAACTTGGACTATAATTCTTGAGATACTTTCTGTGATTTTATTTTGAATTGAATTAGCCCTTGAGAGACGCACATGTAATTTACAAATGCATTCCTATGTGTATTTTAGTAATTCTAAGTAGAATTGCAATGTTTCAGTTGCCTTCCCTAATGGTGAGCAAAGAATGCATGTATAACATTTGTGTTGTCAATTTAATTGAATATTGAGATTAATTTGGAATTACTAAAAATTCATTTAAGCATTTAAAAAAATCCAAGATTATGGCTACTGTTACTATTATTATATCTTCTGAAAAATTAAGTGCATCAAGACTTGATTCTCTTCTGAGTACCTAGTTTCCCACCATCAATCCTTTTGTATTCTTCCATCTCCTCTTCCACTCTGTGGTTTCTGGCAGCTTCCTACTAGGTAATAATTTACTTGCACTTACTAGGAAGCTTGTACTGATGGGAGCAAGGTGAAATGAAAGAGGCAAACAAAATTGAACAAGTATGGGGCGGAGGAGTGTTAAAATGACATTTATGATAGTTGGTCCATAATGCATTGCAGAAATCTTACACAACTTAATCTTTTTCTTTAATCTCTTTGTTGAACTATGCTGCAAATTTCAGTTACACCCTTGTTCAGTTATTGCCCAGCAGGTTCCTTGTCTCACCTGATTTCATTTTATTTATTAAATTATTTTCCTTTAAAATATGAGAAGCCAGCCCACTGCAAAGCAAAGCATCAACATAGATTATTTTCAATAATGCCACTAGGCTTTACATGGATCGCCCACACACTGTTAGCAATTAAACTTTATAAATGCCTGCAGTTTGGAAATGCATGTTTGGTTTGGAAACATGTCCACCTGAGAGAGTACCCTGTGATAATAAATAGCACCATCAAAACATTAGAGGGTGTGATGTGGTGTAGCGTAGCGGGGAATCCAGTTCTCCACATGCTTTTTATTAAATCAATTTCTTAAAATATTTTACATACCAGCCTTATAGTGAATGTGCAATTCCATCTAAGGCAGCCATTTTCAGAGAACAGCATAACAGACTCTCCAGATTGTAAAGTTGCCAGTGACTCAGAAAACTTTCTTATCCTTGTTTTAGTTTACCTGTCCTAGGGAGGAAAGCTATGGCAAATCTAGACAGCATACTAAAAAGCAGAGACATCACCCTGCCAACAAGCGTGTGTATAGTCAAGACTATGGTTTTCCCAGTTGCAATGTATGGATGCGAAAGTTGGACAATAAGGAAGGCTGAGAGCCAAGGAATTGAGGCCTTTGAACTATGGTGCTGGAGAAGACTCCTGCAAGAGTTCCTTGACTGCAAGGCAATCCAACGGATCAGTCCTAGAGGAGATCAACCCTGACTGCTCTTTAGAAGGCCAGATCCTGAAGTTGAAACTCAAATACTTTGGCCACCTAATGAGAAGGAAGGACTCACTGGAGAAGAGCCTAATGCTGGGAATGACTGAGGGCAAAAGAAGAAGGGGATGACAGAGAATGAGGTGGCTGGATGGGGTCACTGAAACAACTGGCGTGAGCTTAAATGGACTCTGGGGGATAGTAGAGGACAGGAAGGCCTGGAGGAACATTGTCCATGGGGTTGCGATAGGTCGGACATGACTTTGCAACTAACAACAACATCCTATCTGCTTGGGGAATGGTGGCAATCCATTAGCGGGGGCTGGGGGTTGGAGGAGCTTCTATTGTGAATTCATTCAACTCAGATGAGATAAAGTCACACTAACTTGCATATAACACATTCAGTCCAGGCAATGCCATTATCTGCTTGCAACTCTCACTTTTTTTCTGTTGTTTTTTCAGCACACTGTATCTGTTAAGAAAGCACTGGTGGGAAGATTGGGTTTGTGTTTATTCCTGTTCTTATTGATTGTTCTGAGCCACCTAGGATCTTGTTTGAGATAGGCAACCATATGAAATAAATAAATAAAATGGGATAGCTAGTTTTAGAATATCTTTTGATTTGTAGTGTTGGAAATTGTTCAAAAGCAGTATCTGAATGTAAAATGCACAGGAACCTTGAAATATGTTTTCTATTATTCAGTATTACAGCATGAATCCAACCTGTGAGTCCATATAACCCAAAGGAGAACACAAAGAATGGAGTTGCAGATATGAGGTGTATAGTAAATGCCTTATATCCTCAGTATCTACTTGCACGCTCAATACCTACTTATGTTTGTTTTGGAAGTGCAGTTCCAGTGAAACCAAGATTTTTATTCTAGCTTAATCCTCTCGTAGTTACATAAACACTGATCCAGGATGTGATAAACATTTTTTGCCAGGTGGAAGGTACTTCAAACAGATGGGCAAACTGCCATAGCATTGCGCAGGTACACTTGATGTAATCCACTTCTTTCTCAGCCTCTTTCTTGCAAACACACTCCATAGATTACACAAGTGCTCATTACAGTTATGTAAGGGACTGGCATCAAACCAGCATACCTTATACTCAGATCATTTGATAACAGCTGGGAAACATCAACATAGATGGTGATGTAGTGAGAAAACAGAAACTTATTACCCAGGAAGAACATATGCAAAGGTGCCGTGCTATCAGGCTGGATACATACAGTATGCTTAATAACTCTTGGTTCCTCTCACTCTCTTATCTGACTTGTGAATGGGTAGCTGAAATTCACTCTAAAAAGTTTTGGTGCATTTCCAGATGTGACAACTCTATCCAAAGAAAGAATTATAAATATGAAACAGAACAATGAAATTCTGAAGAGTTCCTTTATATTAATTAGGGAGAATCCTGCTTTTGAATTAAAGCATGGAGCCAAGCACAATGCTGTGGATACCTGTTGAGACAAGGGCTGCTTGAAAGATAAGGAAAGACAACCTAGTCATTATGAGCAGATCCATCTGATTTAGTTTTACTTTTTTGTGGTTGCTCCATACTCCATTGAAATGCACTACAAGTGCCCTCATCTCAATAAAAGATTCCTTTTGATACGTTTGGGTTTTTATAAGTTCCTTCTTGTTAATTGAATGGGAAAAAGTTCTGTAGCCTGACAAAAAGACAAGCAAGGAGGGTGAACATGTGTATAGTGGGCTGGGAGGTCACAGCAGTGCATTCATTTTATAACATGCATCAGCATAGAACTTAATGTTCCCAGGTGGTGATTTATAGTGTTTGCTACTTCTTACTGCCTGTCCTCACTCTCTGCACTAGGATTAGCTGCTCATAGCCAAGCCAACTGGGGAGGGGTGGGGAGTTTGCTGCATTATCCAGCAGACCTGGAAAGGGGATAGAATGTAGTGCTATGAAAAATACTGAAGATAACATGTATCTCACTGTTTTATAGACCAATGCTCTTCATGTAACAGGAAAGCAACCCAAACTAGATCTTTAGTGAGCGGGGCATGGCATAGTAGTGATTCTAATGGTTGAGTTTCTTTTGTATAACTGTAGCTTTCCCTGTTGCTTATACACTGTAAAAAGAAATAAGCTTCATTTTAAGAAATGCAAAGCAGCAAAATATGCACGTTATTTGATTATCCTTCCAAAGTTCTCCCAATCCTAGATAAAATGAAATTTGAACACCACAGGAACCAAGCCCCAAATGAAATACTTCCTTTAATATTACAGAAGAAATGAAGTGAATGTACTGTATTTAAGGAGCCATAAAATACTGTAGATCGAAAGACCCACTAAGAGAATTGGTTTTAGAATCAAAGCTACAAAGTGTGGCTGGATGGCATATATCAAGAGATTTCAATATCTTATTATTATTACATTTGACAATTACATTTATTTGCTGCCCATCTCTCTGTGGGGCAGCTTACACAAGTAGAATGTAAAATTATAAAAAAATGTAAGTAGAACTACTGTAAAACAATGAAAA